AATGAATATATTGAAAGCCTCAGCAACTCAAATATGAAATTTCATGGTGCTGAGCCCTCTTTTAACAAACTAATTGTGGAATCTGGAGGAGCTTAACTCAGTACCCTCATACAGGAAACGGGCACAGGTGTAATTGCTATTGCTGTATGGCAGAGACTTCTTTTAGATGGTTCAAAACACGGCCAGCACCAGTGCTGTGCATTCAGACTAGCAATTTGTACTGGGTTTACTCTGTCTGTATGATGTCATCGGTCCGTGTGTCCCTAATCTGAAAGAAGCACATATTTAGTTTGTTTTATGGGATGCTTACCAGCTACTCCATATTCAAATGCAAATACTTAATAACCCAAGCTTAAGGATCACATGATTCTTTAGAGAGTAAATCTGGTGATTTAGAATTGTACACATATTTGGCAGATTATAGGTTTATCACTAACAGCTAATCTTTTAGAGAACTGTGACTTAGTTCCTTTTGTTAACTAATTAAAAAAAAAGAGAGAAGTTAAAGCTGCAATTAGATCTATTAAAACAAGTATTACTCACTCAATGGTCTGTAATGGTCTGTACAACTAGGATAAATGTATAATTAGGAAGTTTGCCCAAACACGATTAAAGCTAATCACGTGTTTGAGGCCATTGAACATTGGTGTGTGCGTGAGACTGAGTGAAGTCAGTATGAAAATGTGAACATAAACCAGGCTGTACTTTTCAGAGAAAAATACGTGAACTATCTTTTGGCATATTGTAAACATTTAAGTCAAATCATGGAGGGCTTTTGCAGATGAAAATCCTGGAAGGATTGCGTCTGGTCTCTAGCTTGTGGTGGGATAGTACCATTGGCAACAGTAATCAGGCCAGTTCCACCTGACCCCATGCTCTCACTCCGTTGTTGTCTAGCATTTGCTGATAGTTTAAAAAAATCTAAAAGTTAGTAGGTAGTACGCTCCTGTTGGAGATCAGCTCTTCCCCTGAGGAGGATTTATATCCCTTACAAACTCTTATCTGTTTGGAGGGACTGGGTTTCTTGCTTTTTTTGTTTGGATTTGTTAGTCTTTAAATAATAAAGTAGTAAAGTCCTCAGCTTTAGAGCTAGGACGTATTTTTCCTTCTATATAGTTAAGAGATAGGAAGAAGAGCAGGTTGACTGATGGGTCTACCTGACGTGTGCTTGCATCAGTGCTTTCTCTATGCGGTAGTTTCCAGTGCTGGAAACCCATTGCATCTGCACAAACCAGGAGGTTGTTGGCAAGTCTCATGGAGAAGCCAACACCTCTGGTGTGATTGTTAACCAAAATTAAAGACGTAAATAGTTTGCTGTAGTAACTCTTTGTTTACAAAAACTGTGAAGTTGCTAACATTGACTGGGAGAAAAAAAAAAAAAACGGAAGCTTTGAGACTGTTGCCCTTAACTTACGGAAATGGAATGAGCTTAGGTGCTGAAAGCTGTCTTGGGCTTTTCCAGTTTTCCTGCCAGAGTGAGAGGTGTTTGTACAGATGAACAGATTCCAGAACTAATGTAGTAATGTAAATAGGAATAAACTTCTTTATACCCATTCCTACTTGGGGAAATTTAGTTAACGGTTCTATCTTAGCTGCCCGTACTGTTTTTAAAGGCAGAAAATATAGAGCAGAGTTTGGCTGGTGTCAGCCCTTTTTGTCTCACTAAACTGCTCAGAGTCCTGGAGTTGGACAAAAAATAAAAAGCAGTTGTGGAGGAGGGCGGAAAGAAACCTAAGGTAGGGGAAATGATAGTAGTGTCCCGTTACAGCTACGGGGAGCAGTGCTTCCTGTCTGGGGGTGATACCTGTCTTTCTTTTCCATTTATTTATGATGGTTGTCACGTTCACATATACACACACATGCAAACGTGTGCATGTGTGCATGTACAAACACATACACAACTGCAGTTGTCTATCTTGCATACATAGATGTGCTTTGGGGACCAGTTTCTAAGTGGTTTGTGGTATGTCGGTGGCCCAAATGAGTAGTAGCATAAGAATTGTGCAGTTGTTTTATTGTTTGTATTTTTTCTTCCTGTGCAGACAATGAAAAAATTAGGCCTCTCCCTGAAAGGACCACTTTTTATCCTGGGAGCTACCTAGCCTTCCCTGCTCAGAGGTGATGAAAATATAAACTTGACTGTGATTAGAAATGGAAGATTGCAGGCTCTAGTTTACTCAAATTGCTGGATAATTTTGTTAGATAGTTACCAAGAGGATGTGTGCTAGCCAGAGATCCAGAAGATATCTTTCAGTAGGCTAGGAAAAGATTTATTAGCTCTTTAGTTTGGAGATACAGAGCTTTAAAATAAAGCGTAACTTAGAACTGATTATAAATAATTCCCTAATCTTGTTTTGGATTTTTCTGTGTTCTGTTTGGTCATTACACCTAAATAGCTGCCTAGTCCATAGTCTTGAACGTTATCATCTCAGAATGGCAATACTATTCATGTCTTTATGTAGCTTATGCTCTTATAAGATTACTTTCATTGCTTTCCAAGGTCAGAATCTCCTGTCTTAAACTTGGATGCCTCAGAGGATATAGTTTATACAGTAAACAGAGATTTGGAGGGTGTAAGCATGGAATGGGCCAGGGAGGAGGATTCGAGGAGGAATTGAGGGAGAGGAATGAACATGTTGCTAGTTGTAGCCGTTTTCAGCATACGAGGTCTCTGCTTCAGTAGTGTTGATGGAGCCAAGCCACTGTTCACAGCACTAGGAAATCTTTGCACAGTTCTCCTGCTTTAAGCAGAGCTTGTGAGAGGAACCTTATACAGTGTTAGTTGGAAAAAATCCCTGTACAGTCCATTTACTCTGAGGGATGTTGGCTGGTGACTACAAACTCGTGGTCTTTTTATGTGGGTATTTCAAACCTGAGGAACATCCAGCGCATGCACAAGCTTGTCATTCTACAGCTAAAACTATCCCCATCTGCACACTCATTCCAGGTCTGAAAGATGCCTGTGTTGCCTGTCAACCTCTCTGTGATCCAGATCTGAACCTCTTAGGAAATCAAAAGCAGTCTCCAGTTTCCCCGCTTTCTAAATCTGCATGACTAAAGTGGTTCAGCATGTTGTAGATACTGTCGCTCATTCCAAATACATTGGTTACCTGTGCACCAATAATTGTCCGCATATTTGTGCAGTATCGTGGAGTGGTTTAGTATTGGGCAACTGGCATAAATGAGTCACAGTGTTGCCCTTTCTGCATACACCCGCATATGTCTGTTAGGTATGCACAGCTTATAGGAGATATATGGATGATAGCAATACTGCAAATACCCTGCCACCAAACAAGGAACTTGTACACGCTCAGAAAATAGGTTTTGATGCAGGATTTACGGCAAAGTAAGAGGAAGTGAAGAGTATGCAAAATTTGTTTTGTATGGCTGTAGGAATCCTCAAGAAATTCTTTTGAATCAGGGAAGTAGAGTAAGGAAAACAATGAAAACATACCACTGGTAGAGATTTCTGTCTGTTGATTGGATGTATTGGTGACCAAGGTATGCGTCTTGATGCCTGCATGGCATTTTCTGTATTTGTGAGTGAGACCCCTAAATTCTGGCTCAGGTTTGCTCTATGGGACATATTAAGTCACTCTGCATTATTTAACTTTCCCCTGTTTATTGGAGGAAAATCAGCAATCGTTCATTGTTCTTAAAATACTTCCATGTTTAAGGACATACCATAATTCATGCTGTTCTCCTTCTCACAAATTATCTGAAGTATATTGAGGATTTGTAAAGGTTACATTTGTAGAAACAGGTTTCTCTGCTCTTCTCTTGTGCTTATAGCTTTCTGCAATTGATTGTGCTGAATTTTTGCACTTGCAATTACTTCTGGGTGTAGCTCAAGTTGCTTAGATGTCTAAGAACTTGATTGCACTCATGTATCAGGTATTTAGACATCAAAGTATCGTGCCTTGTGCCTTCAAACAGCGACACCCAGAAAACTGCAAGTATATCTAAAGAGGCAGGCTTGAAAATCAGGTCCTCACAGTTTACAAAAACGTTGGCTGAAATACTGTAACAGGCCATGAAGAAAATTCTACTAGATGAATAATTACTTCTCTTCCATTTTAGGCTGTGTTGTGCTGAATGTGGATCACCGTCTACTCAGGAGGGCACTTAAATCTCTAGGCAACCTAATGCTTTTGCAATATGTTCAGTTGCCTTGGATGGCTCTGAATTTTGCACCTGATGGCACTGCTTGCTGAGCATACTGGTGCTCCTGTTATGTTCAGATAGCCCCCAGTAAAGCTCAAGGCTCATCTTTTCATAGCCATGCGCATCTCAGCTCAATTTGAAACCTGAGGTTTTTCAGAAGTGTTCAGTATTGGCTAAGCCTGACTTCCTGCTATGAGGGGAAGTTTTATGCTGTTTTCAAGGGAAGTAGAGTGAAACTGGTGCTTAGTGCTTTTGAAAATCCTGCCTCATTCGGTAATTTCTAATCAAGAAAAAAAATCATGAGTTTGGGAGACTGCAGGTTCAACTCTTCCAAAGCTTTGAAGAGCCTTTAGAATTTCACCAGTCTTAATTTGCCCCTTGGCATGCTGGGGAGGGTTGAGATTGCGCTTAGCAGGTGTTGCTTTTGCTGGATCCTTGAAGGAGGCTTTATTACAGCTCACCCACCGCCCCAGACCTTCCTCTGTCAGTGCAGCATTTCTGGCACTTAGGCTTGCAAGTGAGCTACATCCTGAGAACAAAGCAAGGGTCCTCTGCCTGCCTTAGAATAACTTATCCAGTGCAACTGGATAAAGGTGTGTATTGTTAGTACTCTTCTTTCATGGCTGTAAACCTTTGCAAATACCATAGCCCCTTTACTCCCTAGCAAGAGACAAATGAAAGAAGTCTGAGGTTTTAAAAAAATAAATAAATACAGGGGTGTCACCTTCGCATCACATGGGCATTTATTTTCCTGTTTGGGTGGCTTTCACTGTGGTCCACCTTGAATTCAAAAAGGTAAGGGAAGCCTCGTTAAGATGTTTTATTTCTTTTCTCAGTATTTCTGGCTTCTCGTGCTTTCACGAGGTTTGGTTGGCATCGGTGAAGCAAGTTACTCCACTATTGCTCCAACCATCATAGGAGACCTTTTCACCAAAAACACAAGGACCCTTATGCTGTCTGTTTTCTACTTTGCAATTCCTCTTGGCAGGTAAGTGACCTAATGCTTTTTTTCATCTGTTTTTTACTTTAAGCTAGCACAAGTCTTAAGTTGCTAAAGAAGATAATTCTTCTGTCTTTAGTTGGAATGATTTAGACAGGAAAATATTGTGAGCAGTGACTAATTAGTTGCAGGAATTAGGTTCTTTTTCTAGCCCTCTTACTGGTTCACGTGTGACTTTTGGGAACTAGTGGGAAGTTTTGTTTTTTTTTTTTTTTTCCTAGCTGACTTGCTCTTTTGTGTAGCGCTATTAAATTAGACTATCTGTTTGAATAATATTATAGTGATTCTTTTAATTGCTCCTTTAGCCAACATCTTTGAGATCACTGTGAAATCTAGAAGATCTCTTAAGTTAAAACATAGGGCTGTTTTCAAAGTGAGTAAATGGGTGCCTGCTTCTTCTATATGACAATATAAGTAATATAAGTAATCTGTAGTTTCAAGACAAATATGCTATGTAACGCATGATTTGAAATTTGACTTTTCAAAATATTTTTAGTTTAAACTCAAGTTCTGCTCAACTTTGAATTTGTGCAGTCTGACTAAACGTAAAAAATGTTGCTGAGTCAATCTGGATGACTTGGGTAGTTGCAACAGCAGAGGCTAGTCCATTTTAGTGCTATCGCCGTTGAAATAGCAACAAGGAGAAACTGTTAAATCTATTGTAGACAAGGATGAAGAGAGAAGCTATAATGAGTGTTCACACTCAACCTTATGCAGAGCGGTGGAGGACAGCCAAACCCATAGATGACTGATGAATGCAACAGACTCAGATTTAGAGTAATTATTTCCTCTGGCACTTTCTTTCAATTGGGTTCCCTTATCAGTCCAATGCAGTATCTGATTGTTGGGACAGGAGGGATTCTGTCATTTCAAAAATTTTTTAATTTTGTTAAAATAATGGCTGACCCTCTATTGTGAGGTTGTAGACAGGGTGGGTTCACACAGCCTGCATCCCAGTTCCCAGAGGTGGACAACTTCCTTTGGAAAAGTGACACTGTGAGTTCATTTCCAGTAGGGAAAACCTGGACAGCAGTTAAATCCCCCCAGTGCAGAGAAAAACGGCTGGTTTAGGGTGGTAACATGCATTTCACAAGTTAGAGCAGTCATCCTTGAGATAAAACTTACAAACACCCCTTTACTCTTGAAGAAAAAGAGATAGCCAAGTCTTTAACTGGTAGAAAGAACGTTTTTCCAAATAGGCCAAGCATAGAGAATTCAGCTCAACTATGGCTAGCAGCAAATCAATGTCCTAGAAGTAGATGTGGCTTGTAATGACAAATACTCAATCTGTTCAGCCCAACTCTTGGTCGGTCTTACCTTAATATCCAGTGAACATTTGGATCCATGGTTTGATTTTGGGTCCCATCTTTGTAAATTGCCTAGTTTTGGGGTGATGACTAGTGGAAACTTCCAAAACTTGGAAGACTGTTCAATAATGGCATGAGACAGCTGACAGATGCCCTGCAGCAGACCTGGCAGCTTTCAGCCAAGGCAATCTCAGCAACCAATGCTGCAGTTTTGAAATAAGGATATTCGCATCCGTTCAGAGCTGCATCACCTCTCTGGTCTCTTGTGAGCTTTCTTTTGTAATGACGGTGTAATTCTGAGCATGTGGCTGAGGGTTCCCTTGCTCGTTTATCTCCAGCCAGGTTTTCCAGACATCAGGTTTGATGTTCTCTCATTAGACTGTGTTGTGTGTCCCTTTGTTTTTTTCATAGGCTATGGAAAATGGTCTCTTCATGGGTAATTACAACTAAGTGCTATTAAATGATAAAAAAAAAACCAATGATGGAGTACGGTGTGTCCTTGAAGGGCACTTTGTTAATTGAGAGTTGAAGATAAAATTGTAAGCATTCATATTAGTACACAGAAAAACGTGCTGTAGAAATTAAATTGTGAAACAAATTAATTCTGAGGCTTTATTTCCATCCACTGTTGGAAGGACCAGCCATGAATTTCATGTCAGTGTCTGAATTTCCCCCAGATTCAAGCATTTTTAGACCAACAGTGCTGGGAAGAGTTGCGTATTGGCCATCATCCACTTCATCACCTGTCCCATGTTTCTCCCTGCAGGAGAATAAAGTCTAGGACACACAATTGAGTGCAATTATGTTGTTATCTTTGTTTAAGAGCGCCTGTTATTGTGGTACTCTATTAAAACTGACTTCTGTCTTTGTATTACTTGCAGTGGCTTGGGATACATCACTGGGTCAAGTGTGAAGCAGGTTGCTGGAGACTGGCATTGGGCATTGCGGGCAAGTAGTATTTTTGCTTTTTTTGATAACATATCAATTTTGTTGTCCTCAGTAAAATTACACATCAAGAACTCTCCCAGCTATCCTTCAGTAAGCATTAGCCATGCTCTTGGGAACCTCCCTCCCAGTCCTTGGTGAGGATTCCCCTAGGCTTTCTTCAGTCCTACACATCCATTTTAATAACATCTTAATAACAGTAGTATCTATTGATCCTCATTAGGAGGAGGAGGAGGATTGTATCACACCAATCCTCAGCCTGCTATTATATATAGATGGTGAAGGACTGGAAACTACATATAAGGATATTAAGTGCATAGCGTATGCATTCTCTGAGCAAATAGGAAAGGTATGTGTATTTGGCTCCTTGTACTTGTTTTTTTCTCTGCCTGGGAACAACAAAATTTCAAGCACTTTATTGTCAATCAGCCATGATTTCTTGATGGGGATGGGAAGATGAGGCATTGGCCTTAAATCAACTCCCTAGTCTTTCAGTCCCCTGCTGTCAAGAAATTCTCAGAATGGCTTCCTGCTTTGAGGAAAAAACACTTTGTTCCAGTTTCCGCTTGTTTTTCTGCCCTGAGAGAGTCGATTTCCTTCTATTTTAACCTCTTGAGACCTTGATAAATGTGTTGAAAAGATAATACACTCCACTCACAACAGATCGTGCACACAAAGATGTCTTGAAAGAGCTGGCAGGAAGTGGCCTAGCAAAAGTGTTCTCTGACCTTTGGCAGTCTGGGTGGCATGAGCCTCAGTGAGGTGCGTTCTCTGGTGCTTCATGAAGACAATGAATCTCATGAAGCCCAGGCCAACACCCTTTATAATAGCAGGTGATTAAAATATATGGGTTCCTACCTCAAGCAAATGGGCCTTTCTGTGGACAGGTCCTTCCCTGTCCAGCAAGGGTAAGCAAGGACAGGAAAGTCACCTTGAATATGCAGTCATCTGCATCCAGGAGAGTGGGGAGTAGGTTTCAGCTATGAATCTATAATGTAAGGAAGTAAGTTTAATAGCCTAAAACTTCAGACCAAGGAGGTGGCTACCTCATTCAAAAGCAGAAATGCTTTAAGGGTAAAATTAACTTTTGAGCACAGGCCAGCACAAGGAAGAAGAAACTCCAAAGCCCCTCCTCCTCCTGATCAGTGGGGTTTAGTGAGATTGATATGTCGAAATGATAAAATGTTTGCTGTCAGTAAACCCCAAATGATTGCTTTGTGCAAGAAATCATCACTAGTGTCTTTCTCTTTGGATCACAGAATCACACAGAATCACAGAATCGTTTAGGTTGGAAGGGACTTCTGGAGATCATCTAGTCCAACCTCCCTGCTCAAGCAGGGTCACCTAGAGCATATTGCCCAGGATCACATCCAGACGGGTTTTGAATATCTCCAGCAAAGGAGACTCCACCACCTCTCTGGGCAACCTGTTCCAATGCTCTGTCACCCTCACAGTGAAGAAGTTTTTTCTCAGGTTCAGATGGAACTTCCTGTGGTTCAGTTTCTGCCCATTGCCTCTTGTCCTGTCGCTGGGCACCACGGAGAAGAGGCTGGCCTCATCCTCTCGACACTCCCCCTTCAGATACTTGTACACGTTGACGAGATCCCCTCTCAATCTTCTCTTCTCCAGGCTGAACAGGCCCAGCTCTTGCAATCTTTCTTCATAGGAGAGATGCTCCAGCCCTCTAATCACCTTGGATGCCATCTCCATAGTTGTCCTGACTAATCCAGGCTATCCATAAGGTTGTATGTCTTATGGGGTCATGATTTCAGCTAAAAATGACACATTGATGCATGATTCCCTGACTGCAAAACCGTGAGGAATCTATAAGGGAAGCTGCACACTTTCGTGAGAGTAGTTTAGGGCAGAATTGCTTATTCTTCCTAGCAAAACAGCATGTGTTGAAAGCTTCCAGGCACCACTGTTAAGCAGCCTCCGTCCCCGTGGCAATCATTGCGCTGTTATAAGACATGCTAGGATTCCCCTAGGTGATACTTCACTCTGTGATCTCCTGTGGTCCCCAAATCCAGGGGAGGTCAGGAGGAATCAATACTTTAGTGGGATGAAGAAGACATCAGGGCACTTCAGCAGGCAGCAGCTTTGTCTCTGGATCTAGCAGTTGTGTCAGTGTTTCATTAGAGCATTACTCAGTGATCATGGGATATTATCCCGCTGGAGGAAGGAAGCCTTCAAACAAAAATCATAGAGGCTTGAAATTATATGGTCCTAGAAAATCCTAGGCATTTCTGTTTTTTCTTTGAACAGTGCTGAGCCCTGTGCTCCTCTGTGATAAGGATAGTGTCGGTCTTCATTTATCCCTGGATGAGGGAGTTGTCTGACTTTCCAATTCTGAAATTTTCATCTACCCTTTCCTAGAAGAGTTCTGAATTTGCTGCCTTTGGACCTGTAACGTTGCTCTATAGGTATAGACAGTTCTCAGATTATTATTGGAGGCATATTTGGGGGGGAACAGAAATTTCAGTTTGAAAATCACATGTGTAGAAGAGGCAGTCTGCTGAAAATCCATATTCTTGTTTTCCTAGTAGAGCTATCTTTCATGTGAACAGTGACAGCATTTCAGTGTCAAAATAATATTCATATTTGTAGCTTACAAAGCACCATGGGATCTTTGCACTTTGTCCAGTGATAGAGAGAAAGGATTGGAGACTGGGAAACTTAACCCTTGAATTGTCATTTTCCTGTCTTCCAGCCTGAATTTTCAGTTTCTTGGTCTGCTGCACGCTGTGGTAATCTGAGGGAGATGCTTGAAAAGGGAAAGCTAGTGTGGGTTACCTGGAGGAACATGGAAAGGGACGCATGTAAAGAAAGGATGCTTTTCATTCAAAGCCAGCCTGCTCCCTACTTCCAGAAATCTTTCACCTGGCCTAATTGGCCTTAGAAAGCTTCTGTGTCCTCCCAGAAATTAGTGGGTCTCTTAGCCCCGCTGGGAGTAAGTTTTCAAAGAGTTAAACATCACTAAAGAACCGCACTAAGATGAATCTTGGCACTTTAATAACACCAAGAACTGATTGCCTTAATCAGAGTATTCTCAAAGCTGCATACTTCCAGAGTGAGATAAGAGAGGTCAGGGAATACCAGGGAGGAAGGAAAGGAGCAGATGCCTCAGAGCATGGACACAGATTCTGGCTAGCTGTAAGGAGTTGGGTCGCTGAAACAAAACTGATGTAATCTGTTTCTTACTAACTAGTCAAAGCAAATACTGCTGGCTTCCTGGGCTAATTCCCTGTTCCTTTCTTGCAGGTATCTCCACTCCTGGGTATGATAACAGGGACACTTATCTTGATATTCGTACCTGCTGCTAAAAGAGGAAATGTTGAACAACTCGGGGGACAGCTGAAAGCTCGGACCTCATGGCTAAGAGACATGAAAGCACTGATTAGAAAGTAAGAGTGCTCTGCTAAAATATACTTTGCCTCTAATGCTTAATTTGAGCATTAAAAGGCCTGTACTTCTTAATACTGTGTGCCTGGAATGTGGCAACGTGCAAGGAGTTGAAGGAAGCTTGGTTTATGGAGCTAGGAAAGAAAATAACAGTTATGTTTTCAGTAGGTGTTGACAGTAATGACAAAGAAGGATTCCAGCTTTTGGTCTAACCTATCCAAGATTCAGATCTAAGAGTCCGCTTTGTTTGGCTCATACTTCAGACAAATCAAGAATTTTGAAGTGCTGTGTTAATTGTTGTGCCACTGTTGTTCAGACGCTTAGGTCCCTTTTCTTCCTTGAAAGAGCTACTCTGCTGAGGGTAAAAAGAGAGTTAAATGCCAGAGCAGTTTCAGAGGAGGGAATACACAAAAGCATGCACAACATGACAAGTTTATATATATATTTATACCACAGTGACTGAATATATGTGCACAGAATGTCCTTAAGACACTTGTACATTTGCATAAAAGATCATAAGCTTCCAAGTGTTTAAGCAGCTGTACTTGCTTGCCTGTGAATGTGCAAATACTTGCACATATGAATTTAGTGTAACATCTGAATTCTGATCGGAGACTTGCAGTGTCTTTCATTCTTCTTGGAACTACTGGCTAGGATGTCTTCCTGGTATTGTCATCCAGTGTCAAAGCACTATGAAAAGTGATGATGGTTAATCCACCAATATTTCTGTATTACTTATTTTGATAGTTTGTTCAAACAGCAATGGCCCAGTGGCATGGATGGGGAGGGGAAGGGAAAACTGGTAGTTCGGGTAAACAGATGGTATTATGGCGATAGCGCTGTAATTCACACATGTCTCAGTGACTGAGTGCTGATTGTCCTCTTAAGTGGTCCCATGAAAAATGGACCCTTTGGAAAGCAGCACTGAAGAGTTAAGCATGTTACTATCAGTACAGCATCATGTATGAAGAAATACTCTCTAGGTCCTATTCTACATTGCTTTGCACATTGTCTTATCTTTATCCCTTGGTAAAGTGAGGTGGGTAGGATGTGGGAACGCTGTATTTTTTCACTGAAGCACCAATTCCTCTCCTTAGACTCCTGCTCTTTCAAGTTTTTCCACTAAACCTTCCCTCGGATTTGCCTCTTGTGTCTCCACAGCCGCAGCTACGTTTTCTCATCACTGGCCACCTCGGCTGTCTCCTTTGCTACAGGGGCACTTGGCATGTGGATCCCTCTCTACCTTCACAGAGCACAGGTTGTGCAGAAGACAGTGGAGACCTGCAGTTCACAGCCCTGTGGCACCAAAGATAGGTTAGATTCATACTCCACTGCTTTAAAGGTTGAGGGGGAGGGTATTTGTCAGAGGAAACGGGCAAGTCCCATGGAGTCATATTACTAGAATGTCTGTAATTTCCTCTAGGTCTTTGCAACAATGATAGGAAATGCTGGGATTGTAAACTGGGGTTTATTTCTCTTCTTTTCTTCATTGCATGAAGTCAAACTAAGGGAGAAAAGATGACCTCAGCTCTGTCTTAGTTCACAGTCCCTAGTACGCAGTTAGAGAAGAGATTTTGAAGTCTTTGCTTCAAAAGATATTTGGAGAGCTGAGAGAGAATGGGGTTTCTTAAGGCTCACACTGTTTTCTGTGATAGCAGCAGAATCAGCTGGGAGGTTGGGGTAGCCGCCGTGGGGGCTATAATTCTTGGTCTGCTTCCCCTAATGGCTGCAGGGATGACTGTGAAGACTTTTGTTTCTATGGGAGGGAGGGCTTCAATATATTTGGTTGCTTTATGTACTGCTGTGTGCGATGGGTTTTGCTGAAGAATGGTGCGAAGATCTGGGACGCTTTGGTCTGGATTGCTTGATGTTACATAGTGGTTTGTTTTTTCAGTTCTAGTTATATAACCTAGCTTGCAGCTTATACACGGTGCAAAGTAATCCATTGTTTTGTGCTTTGCCATGATGGCACAAAACATAAAATGCTAAAAAAGCATTTTTCCAGGTGAATAAAAGATATGAAAGACTGCCTTTTGCCAGTTCTTTTGCTCTTTAGCTTCTGAGAGAAAAATAACATTAGGAAAACCTTCTTGCTTTAGGTGACACAATCCTATCACAAGTAAACTACTTAGTGGTGTGGCGTACCATTGACTAGGGAGCCTAGCAGGCAGCCTAACTCTTCTGCAAAAATGCAGTTAGCAGAAAATAAAGCTCCAGTCAGACTGCCCATCTGCTGTTTACCAAGGGAAGCTTTCCACCCCTTGACGACACCTATATTTTCAGCCTGCCTGAAGCTACTTTAATGTAGTTGCCAAAGACTCTATAATCCGAGTCCTGCACGTACAATATAGAGAATCCTTGATAGCTACCAGCACTTTAAATTTAAATAAACACATTTCATGTATGTAATATAACAGCAAAAGAAACCAATCAGCCTTTTTTAAAGTGGGCTAAAAGGAGTTAGAAAGTCAAACTATGTTGAAAGTCAGTGGCGTTTGGATATTTTTTAGCTTTCCATTCTCTTTAGCCTCTTAGTGCCTGCTCTGTCCATAATTTCCCCTACGTGGTCAATATGTAAATTGTTACTTAGTTTTGCATGTACGTAATTAGTCGTACAATGCAATTTATAGGAAGCCCAGTTCCATGCAAAGAAGCGGCACAAGTCCTTTGCATCTCTTTGGGTGTTGATCGAAGGCTTTATACAAGCCTGAATTTCATCTGCAGTGTTTTTCTTAATTTCAGGGGAAGGGTGCTGAAATTCACAGGCACTCAGCAGGTGGCTCATTTGTTTTATTTTAAACTTGCAAAGCCATTGTGCAGGTTTCCATCAGTCAGTGGACCCTAATAAACTTAAAAATAATAATAATCCTCTCTCAATATTTTGTTTTAATAGCTTGATCTTCGGAGCGATCACATGCTTCACTGGTTTCCTGGGTGTAATCACAGGGGCCGGGGCAACCAAATGGTGCCGATTAAAAACCCAGCGAGCTGATCCTCTTGTCTGTGCTGTTGGCATGCTAGGATCTGCCATCTTCATCTGTCTGATCTTCGTTGCTGCCAAGAGCAGCATTGTGGGAGCCTATGTAAGTATAATCATTGGCATAAGCCAGTCTCACTGTTACTCTCTCCCCCTAACTCTTTAGGAGATTCTGTGTCTCCTCCCTTGCAGGAAGACTGAGACGTTGGTCTTGCTTTTCCCATTCCGAATGTCCTTTATTTGCTCTTTGCCATTTTGGCACTACCCTTAGGTCCCTGGAGGGAAAATAATATCTCGCTACTTATCCCCTCTTACCAAATGTCATCTGAATTTAGTCCTGTGGATGGCTCATGCATGGAAACCCACAGTTCCCTGCCTTTGTGCTGTTGTGACTATCCATAGTGCTATTGCTCTTGCTAATGTTTTGGTACAGGAAAATAGCTTCTCTTACAATAAGGGTAATGTAGCTGGCAGTGGTACCAAATTGTAATTATAGTATAATTTGTCTGTGGGCATGCTTTTGGCTACCTGTAATTACCATTAATTTCCATTACTAGGTAGCTTGCTGTAGAGCAACAGTAACTAGTGTGTAATTTCAATTTATTATCTGTATTACCACAGTACCTGGAAGTCCTAGTCATATCCCAGGAACCCACAGTACTTACTGCTGCACAAATACAGACTGAAAAAATGGCCCCTCCCAGAGTATTTATAATCTTAAGTATATATAAAATGGATCAGATGGATCCAGACAGATTAGGGGGGAAGGAAAACTTGAGATAATATATGGTGAAGCTACCAAAGGGACAGTTAGTAAATCAGTCATGCAGTTAACTTCTCCGTTGGATGAATTAGTGGTGACATAGTGAAAAATATGTGAGTACATAGTAACTGCAATGTACCTGTACTTCAAAAGCATATGAGCAGATGTGCTCAAACTAGCTCAGAACCAGCAGAGATGAAATGTCTTGGGCTACCCTTCCCCTTTCACTAGTGCTTCAGGACCCGTCCCCCGTCCAGCCTCAGGCCAGGATCTTGCTTTCAGTGAAGAGAGTAGAAATCCAGTACAGTGAACAAGTCTCAAGTTTTCTTTTAATATAATAGAGAGAAGCCTGGTAACTGTTTGAAGGGACAGCTTGAGGAGGAGGGTGCAGTGAGATCAATCATTTCTGAAAGCCCACACGTAGCTTCTACACAGCAGAGTACACTGAAATGGAGCAACGAGAAATTCATTTACAAATAACCAAGCAAACCATCTACTGAAGTTTCTTCTCTCTGTATAGGTCAAACAATTTGGTAATTTTCTGAATATTCCAATAGCTGCCATTATGATGCAGCAACACAGGAAGAAAGAATGAGTTTAAAAACATAAAGACAAAACCAAGAATATGTACTATAGCCATTTAAAAGGTGTCAGAAGAAGACTCTGGTCATCTGGCTCACAGCACGGTCTAGAGCTAACATTTGGTTCAATGATCAGCAGAAAAATGACCACCTCAGGCAGCCTGTAAGAGGGTATTACTGACTGGCAAAACATTAACCTTGCTTTCATTCTCAGCTGATTCTGAATGAAGAGATCTGCCATATAACCTTTACCTGCCCCTCTCTCCACCTCTTTGTGCAGCTAGACCTGCGATTTTCTGCTTTCTCAGACCTGATGACAGGCGTTCATTTGCAGTGATTAGTCTCTTTATGCACAAAGTCCTCCCTTTCTAAGCTGGGAATACTATTTTCAGAAAATGTGCAACAAAAGGTGGTTATTGATCTCATTTTTATCTTCTGTTAGGTGGTCTTCTTTTTAATCTCAAGACAGTGGCTTTTAAGCTGCTATGTTTCCGTATGGCCCTTCCATTCTTCATTGTATGGATATATAAATATAGATGGTATTATTTAACCAATCTTAGAAGCAATTTATTTTAGGATGCATGAGCAGTAAATCTAATAAAGAGCCAATGATTTACAAAGGAAGTTGTATTTGCATATGGAGGGTGTGTGAAGAATATAAATGTCTTTGCTGATGCCATTCTTTTGCTGATGCACACATTTGTTGCAGGTAACGCTGCCTCTCCATAGCCTTAAATCTGTTCTCTCTCTGCTGTTGGAAACTTGTTGTGTGCAAAGCAGATAAGATAGTCTAGTTAAAGTGTGACTGGGGGATCAGGAATCTGAACTTACTTTAGAGATTCTGCATGTTACAGTAGGCAAGTTTGGTTTTTTTCTGAAAAATGAGGATTCCTAACCTACGGAGGATCAGGGTAGCTAAGATCATTAATGTTTGTAAATCACCACGAGTTAGAAGGTCTGTGGGCAAGCCATCCACTACAAACTAATATGAGCAAAAAAAAAAAAAAGTGGCACAATACCTCTTACTGTTGCTATTTAGTTACAGGTGCTATCCCCACTGAGAAACAGGTCTTACAACAGAGCTAACAATGTCTCGTAACTCAGGGTGTTATCAAGGTGGTGCTATGTATTGGCTGAACTGGCTTTTCGAGGCAAGTTTCAAACGTGTGGGCTCTTGTTCTTCCATACCATCCAAAGCTATTGCAATCTTACAGGCTTCTAGCATGTTTAATTTCCTTTTACTTCACTAGGAGACCTATTTTACAAGGCTGCATGCTGTAGCAGTTTCCTATTACTACCTGTTTTAAATGTCATTGGACCAAAATGAAGGAGTGTGCAGTCTCTGACTCCAGAAATCTAGAAAACCTAGATGTGAGGGACAGTGTGATGGATTAGGTTACTTACCTTCCTTATCTCAAAATCCATGATAGTAGCTTGTCCTGGAAAGGATGCAGTAGACTTTTTGGGTGGCTTTTTTAATCTCTGATAGCTTCCCTGACAACTGTGTCCTAGAACAGGGAGGACCAGCAGCATCTGTGAGCTCTGTAAGACTGTGACTAGCAAGAGCAATATTTTGGTCTGGTTTCCATCATGGTGATATTTCCAGACCTTCTATACTGTGACTGTCCTTAGACTTCTATCACTGATCACACCGTGCTGAAACTGAAGCGTCACTGCTTTTGGACCTCTTGTTGGCTCAGAACCTTAAAATTATCACTTCCATCCATTTAGATGCCTAAACTTGTAGTTTGACATCAAGCATATGGGCACCCAAGAGGTGAGCTGTCACACTGAGCTTTGGCAAGCAGATCACCATCTCCCTTGCTGCTCTAGCTAGTAGTCCGGAGTTTCAATTTCAACTGATATTGATGACATTTAAGTAAAGTGTTCCTTACTACAGAAGAATCAGCAGAGCCCTTGTTTTTTTTTTTTTTTTTTTAAACTTCTTGGCATTTTTGGTTTTCTGGAAAAGATCTACATATTTAGCATAGTGACCTTGTCCCCACAGGCTCTCAACTGTCTGCTCTCTTCTTCCTCTGAAGACGTGCACTTTTTTCCTCTGCTCAGTCCTGTTTCACAGGTGGTTTTGATCCCTGAGGGCAGCAGCTCTTCCTGTTCTGCAGCAGCCACTCCTGTTTGGAGCAAGTAGACAGACTTCTGCATCTAATATTTTCGTACTACTCCAGCATATTTGCTGTAGCAGAACTAGCTGGAAAGGTGGAACGAAATAGCATTGTATATTATTTAGCTGCCCAGAAACTTTTTTTCTGCCTTTTACTATCTTGCTTTGCTGTATAGCCCAGGTAGTTCTTACTCTGCTTTTTCTGCAGAATGTGTACTTCTGTATTGTAGTCCAGCTCCTTAAAATAGTAATTGGCATATCTTTAGGTCCCACTTTTTCTGAAATGTATAACTCTCTTAAATGTTGGTTTTCAAACTTATTACTTGAAACCATTTAGCTGTATGGCAACGTTGTATCGCACTGCTCAGACATTTCAACAGCAGCTTTCAGACTGAACATCTAGTTTAAATCTCAAGACGACTAGAGAGAAATGTTTTGTGTTCTTTTGCCGTTGTTTCAAGTTCCTGTTGTACCTCAGTTTCGGCTTTTATTTCAATTCCTCAAAGACATTTTATGATCTTTCAGAAACAGCAACTCCCAGGCTAAATCCTTGCCATAGAGCTTTTGCAGCTTCTCAGTCTCAGCTCTAGGGAGCTTTCTATTGACATAGTGTTGGTTGCTTATATACTTCTGAGGCATTGATATTGCCCAGTGCTGAGATGGAGTTAGACTTGCTTAAGATTCAAGAGTACATGTGAGAGTCTTACCCCACGTGTCAAAGAGAACTTCAAACAACGAAGATGTAGACAGATATGCACTTTGCAGATAGCTATGGAAGCAGTTTATCTGCCGTAGTTTAGAATCTGCTGTAGTTTATAACCAGTTTAGATCTGCTGGTGTGACCTCTCCAAAATCTACTTTACTTATCATTACTGGGAATCAGAATTTGCTAACTCTGATCACATAAGCAGCTCTTGAGAAAAACTTGACGAGGACATAGCTTCTATCAGCTCATCAGAGGTAAGGAACTGGATGCCAAATGAAGTTGTTGAGGTATTATAAAATGCAGCTGGATCCAGAAGATACAGTATGTCTCCGCAGTTGAAATCTCAGTGTAAAATGAGGATTCTAAAAGTGTGTGAGGAGTCAAAACTGTGGCCATTTGGGAGCTATTGATCTGCTCTGGAGGCTGCTCTATTTGTAGTAAGCGTCCCTATAGCCTCTCTCCAGCAGAAATGTCACATATCCTCATATGCCCTTTGCAGTAGAAGAACTCATTTTTATAAATCCCCATTAGCAGCTGAAGGACTGACTTTTTTCAATGTCAGTATCTTTTTGTCCTGATTTTTGATCTTCCTCCTGTTCCTGTTTCTCTTTTGTCGGTATCCACATATGAAGCATGCATTTCATGAAAATGTGTATGGTAAAATACATATTCAGTGATTCAGAACTGGTGTGCTCTGAAGTTTGTAGCATTTTAGTGGTTCATAAGACTTATGCTGAATTCCTGCAGGAGGAGGCAAGGTTTACTTTCTGTGTGTAATAATTTGTATGTATATATGTGTGTAATTTGTATTACCTTAAGGCAAGCAGTTGCTTGCTCATAATAATTTATGAAAAGACAGGGCATGTCGAGGCTGCATTCAGAAGTGTGATTGCATCTTTCCCAAGCTCACTTTAATCCATCCAGCAACAGAGTTCCAGCAACAGTGGCTCTAAAGCTGTAATAGGGCAATCTCAATGTGGTCATGAGAGCCCACCTGGGGCTCTGATATGCCCTTGCTACATGCCCTATAGCCTCAACTTCTATCAGCACCTTGATTCATTGGATCTATGTTTCTCCAGTCAGTAGTCCTCCTTTCCAGTGAGACCAAGTTCAAGGCAGACCAGTGGACAGTGGGAAAATGGAAAGAGGAGATTTCCTTGCTCTCCAGTTGGGCCATAATGGCTGGCTCAGACACCACCAAAGAGGAAGCAGAGCTAGTCACAAAAAGAGGGGATGGGGAAGGGGAGTGTATGGGAAACAAAGATAATTTTAGAAACAAATAGAGGAAGCTTTCTGTAGGTCAATGCGTAAGACTTGGCTAAATAAAGCAAACTATTTGTGGCAGTGACATGGTGGTCTGAGGGGTTTAGGCATTTCAGCCAGAGTGAGGGAAAGACAAATGCCTTAGTCACATCAGGCCCATAACCACCAGCTTCTCCTCCCACCCCAGACTGCGCATATGCCATCAACAGGAACTGAGGCAGTGGCTGTGACTATCAGATCCTGTCAAAACTCACAAGAAAAGCAAAAATGTTATCCATCAGAATTTCTTCTCAAAGCCAAGCGTGCCATGTATTTCTTGCTGGCTTTGTTCCATTAATGAATTGTGCCTTATTCAACATAACAAAAAGTGAACATATGAAAGAACGTATAATAATTAAAAGGGGAATCTTCAGTTACCTGAATCCAGATTTCCATAGTTGTTAATCTCTATCTACCAACAGGCACTCCAGGAGTAAGATTTTCTTTCTACCTGCCACATAGAATAATAGGATTAGCTGGGCAAAGAACGACCTTTGGTGGAGATATTGTAAATTATTCTTGCTTGCCTTCTTATTGGAGGGAGTTGATACTTTTGAGCCTGATTATTTGAATAATGTGTCATCTATATATTCTGCTCTTCACAATATTCAAAGGAAGATGGAAAAGCCTATGGAGAAGATTTTCTCTTCTTGTTTCTTCCTGTTGAACCTACATTTCTTTGAACTTTCATGTCTTTGTTAAATTGTTAACCTACAGCCTAAAAGCAAAATGTTGATGACTGAAATATGTACAAGAAACTTTTTAACGGAGACAGTGTTCCCCTTGAAGCCATATCACCCTTGCTCCATTGGGTTGCAGTTTGATGAACGTTTCTTTCAATGATAGGACCAGATTTAATAGTTTCTCCTCTCGATGATCATTTCAGTTCCTCAACTGCTACAAGTGTTTGTGGAACCATTTAGTGAACTGCATCAGGGATTTGGGTTAAAAATAAGTAAAACAATTCCCCCTCCTCAAAAGATTCTTTGTTCTTTCGGTTACCTGACTACCTGCTTGACACAGTTGTACCAGCACAACTGAGAAGACAATATGGGGATAGGAGTAAGTGTGGAAGATGTGCAGGACGTCGGAAGGATAGGTGGTGGCTGTTTATACTAAACCCCCAGAAAAAAATGGTCTCATTGAGCTACAGCCATAGGGTTTTCAGTGCATCTTGTTCACTGTCTCTACAAAGAGCCAAGAATTACGTTTCCCTGTAAGAGATTGATGCTGCAAAGCCCATACTTAAGTCCTATGTTGACTGTAGCTATATACAGGTTGTTGACTGCAAACAGGTATCAACCAATATAGTGCTTAAGTTGTTGCTACAATGGCTAGAACTATCTCCTCCTCAAAAAGGAAACTGGTGCGTTGGGGGGGGCGGGGGAAGGGGTCTTGCATATAGCGAGTAGAGAACCTCATCTGGTTTGCTACAGAACTAAAACACAACTTGATTTCTAGTGATGAAACTGACTGCGTTTTGGGGAATTGTGGCCTTTTTGCCCTTTCTAACTGGCTTTTTGAAACTGATTATTCAAGTGTGGAATCCCAAGGGTCTCTCTTGTTGGTTTGTCATGTTCATCTGTCTCCAAAGGTGTCGGCCTTTTATTTAGCTCTTCTGTAGATCATAAACAGTTTGCACTAATGAAGTTGCAGGCCAACCCCCTCAGGCTTCAGATAAAAATCTATAGATTTCTGTGTTTGGGATAAACCAGAACAGTAACGAGGAGCGTACCGTGTACAGAAGAATCCTTTGAGAAGGCTTGAGACATATAAGCAACAAAGGAAAATTTGTGACAAGTTATTTTTCCTTTGAATGCCAAGTGAATAAATCTTTTCCTTTTTGTGTGTTTTGTTACAACAGATTTGCATTTTTATCGGAGAAACTCTTCTGTTTTCAAACTGGGCTATCACAGCAGACATATTAATGGTGAGTGCACATTGGAACAGCATCTTTCTCTTTTGGGGTCCAGAGCAGCTTGTCAGCTTGTAAGAACAACCTGAAGTTAACAGTTTCTTCCAAATGCTTAGTCCCAGCTTCAGCCTATTCTCTTTTTGCCTTTTTTTTTGTTGCTAAAAAAGGAGAGTGAGAGGGAGAGAAAGAAAGAGAGGAATTCTCTTCCTTTGTTCTGAGCAACAAGGAGAGGAATAGTTTCCCCATCAAATAGTTTCCCCAAATGCTAAGTACTTGTGCAAAACTCCACATACAAAGAATTCAGCCAGCTTTTCTGAATAGTCAGCACATTATTGGATTTTGTTATCAATAATCCCTATTAGCTTTGTTCTGTAATAGGAAATCCTTCCCTTCCTCCCTCCTCTGGCCACAAAGGCAGCCATCTCCCTCTCTCTTTGGCTTAACTCCAGCGAACCTACCATTCAACACATACACAATAGAAAACCACCTCTGGGAGACGAGAGAGGAAAAGAAAGTATAAAGAATTTCTGGACTATGTCCACTTCTTCCAAGAGGAAGCTGTCAGAGATTTTTCACCTCATGTCCTTCTTTTTCCATTCTCTCTCCGCCATAAAACTTTTACAGTCTTTCCAATCAGAAAGCTGACCTCAACAACTAGATTTTCATGTGAAATAGTCTGGATGCTTGTTAGAAAACCTTGCATGTTTTCTAGATGCTTGCATCTGAGGATTACAGAGCCTTTCAGATATGCTGTATCTTGAAGTCCCGTTGTGAGGGAGGTTACTTGTTGCTTATTGTGTGAAGAAAAAAAAAAAAAAGATATTAGGGCACAGAACCATTACAGGATTGCTTGAGGTCTTTTGGCAGGTTGTTGACAGAGCTAAAAATATCACTAGACCGGCATCCATAGAAAACTCCCTTGACTTGTATTCATTGTTTGTGCAAATGTTGATGAAAAAACAGTCTGGCTCAGTATTTCTAGATATAAAGGTATTGGTGTTGATATATTCATTCAACGAAGAACTTCAAGCTTCTGTTAAACTTTTGTTTTTTTTCAGCAGAAGATTTAAGTTAAAGGCTGTGTTCATATATTTAAGGTACTGCTGTAGTTGCCAGAACTGCGTTACCTGATGAACTTTCAGTCCTTAACTCATTTGGGCAGAGAACGTGCTGTGAGGTTGGGCAGTGTGATTAATTCCACATCTCTCAGATGGCCGGGAGGCACAGAGAAACGAAGGCTGTCAATATACTTCAGTAGCTCAGATCCCTTTTAATTGCTGAGCTTGGTTCCTCCTACCAGTTTAGCTATGGCATGATGGAGTTCCTCATAGGCAGAACAGGTGTTTACTATGTACTTAACGTGGATTTTGCAGCTTATGCCACATTCAGGACTGTTATGGCCATCCATTCAGTTGTAGCTGAACATTTAGACAGATGTGCAGTCTATGGACAGCTGATCTGAGGAAGATATTATGGTACAATATTTGTAGTTGCTCATTACTGCCTCCTGTCAGAGCTTATTCTCCCATCCTGCCTTTGGCTGAGATGTTCGCAGGAGTGGTCCCAGCTCTCTCTGGTCAAATTTAGCTGGACTGGCTGAAACAGCAGATCTTTGATATCCTCACCAACTTTGGCTGAAACAGGTAAGGGATTGGCCATGTGGCACATCCACAGTCCTCCAGCAGGGACTCTCCATGAGCAGCTGGGGTAGTAATCTCTGTTGCCAGCATAGCTCAGCTGGACAGAGGGTACCTGTCAGACATGTTCAGGGTCCTCCAGAAAATCTGTACCTTGACCTGAAAATCTGAAACTTGACTAACATTATCTCAAGCTAATGCCTGAAGCCATTTTTCTCACAAACGCTATGTTGTATCAAATCTGTTAAGGATGCAATCATTCTTACATTTTAATAATTAAGATTATTTGTGTAGACTTCAATGAGGCTTCAGGATCAAGCTTTTTAATAGCTTTTATAGGGTTTGACATCTGTCTTATGTGGCTGGCATCATATGTTCCACTGCGTTTTGCAGGGATGCATCTGCAGTTTATATTGCTGTAGTGCAAAGGAACTCCACAAGAAACCAGTGGAAATAATGTCTAAGCTTCGATTTCCAAAACACCATAAATGAGAGAAAGTATAGGAAGGAACCTACAAACATGTTAAAAATTGGAATTGCTGACTGATGCCAACTCTTAAACTAGCTGTTCACTTTGTCTGTATAGATAAATGAACTGATTGTCATATATAATGTTTAGCTCAATTTATTATCAGGGTAAGAAGGCCTGTAAAACTGCTATATAAATAAATGTAAACATCCACTTAGATCAATACAAGCCTGTAAAGAGATGGTTTGAAGCGCATTTATATTACACAAGGGGTTTGAGAGGATGTTTAGTCAGACAATAGGTGAGAGCCAGGGTTATAACCACATTTGATGGACAGCTTTATAAGAAGTCCTAGCCAGAGAAAGGTGTGGAAAGGCTTTAGCCAGATGCACTTTAAATGTATGACAAATTAATTTCTACTGATTACTATTTATTTTATGTAATCAGATGTGTGTTAGTACTTGCCTGAGGCTGGTAAAAAGTTTAAAAGCATTATTAGTGTAAGCCTAACAAACACCTTCATGATATACATAAATATTATCCCATTTTCATGGATAAAAAGCTCTTAGTATAGGCTGAACTCTGCTCCCATGGATTTCAGTGAGAGCAGACTTATGCCAGAAGTGAGGCTTTGGGAAACTGCATCCTAAGTGATTTATCACAGCTCTCCCAAAATTTACAAATCTCATGACTGCCTAAGAGCCCTATCTGGCAAGTTGATAAGGAGCTTCAGAGGTTTTGCAAGCTTAAGTTCCCCAGGATGCTTGCTTATTATCTTCATATTTAAATGTTGGCTTTTCATAGCTTCACGCTTCCATTGCTCTTCTGTTCTTGCTGGTGTGGCAGTCTGTATGCAGCTCCTCAAATTGTCTGCAGTAAAAGGTGGTAAGGGTTAGATCTGATAAATTGTCAGCACTGCAGAATGTACTACACTGCCTGAGACTTTAAAAGCTTATATTTGTTCCAAATGCAAATTTGTACAAAATAGGCCTTATTCTCCTGAGCACAACTCTCCAAATCTCATCGACCATCTTTGCAAATTGGCCTCAAAATTACCAGAACCCCAAAGTAGCATTAAAACTGCCTTGTAGCAGCAATAATGAATGAGCTGCAGTGCAGCAGGCAAGCGTGTAACATTGAGACATGCCAAGTGCTTTCATCTTTGAGTGCTGGGGACTTTGTAGAGTCCTAATAGTCCTAATCCTAATAGTGGATTTTTTTCTCCACAGCTCATCTCAGAAATAAAGGTGATGGACAGAGGCTTGATAGCATTTTTGTGTAAGAGCCAGTAGGTAATTGAAAGGGCCTCAGCTATTGAGATCACAGTCCTTTTAGGTCTTTGTTGCAAAAAGCCATCCTCCAGTGTATGCAAAACCCCATGATGCTCATGCAAAAATGCTCCCCGTATTTCCTCCTCCTTTTATAGCATTAGTTCTTTTTAAATGATCGTGAGCTGCTGTGGAGGACATGAGCCTTAATGTTTTGTTGTGGAGGCAGACTCTGCCTAAAATTTAGGCTTGAAACAGGTGTAGACTGACTGGTGCATGGCGTGGGAGAATGTATGCTTTTATTCTGTTTACCTTCCATATAAATTTAAGACAATTATTTTTACAGTATAAAATGCTGTCCTGTTTTTACCAGTGAAGAAATAGCATTTCCAGAAGTTCTCATTATTGCTTCTCTCAGTGTGCTTCCACACACTGGTAATCCCTGATCGATAGATCTAATCCATCGCTGTGGATTAGATTTTAAGGCAAGGCAGGAAGCACTTATGAGTGAAAGTACGCAACTTGCTTCAAACGTGTGCCAGCTCTGCCCAGGAGGGATGTGCCAAGGGCCACCTCAGCATCCCCCTGGGGGCCAAGGGTTTGTAGACAACTGCGCACTTCTCTCTGCTGTGCTTTGACCTGGGGACTAGCCCAGCCCTCTTATTTCATTTACAAGTATTCTTTTAGACAGTGTCTACCTGTGAATTGTTAGCTTTAGTGAAGGGTTTCTCTCAACCACAGCCTTTACCTCTTCTGAACAAGTTACAACAGGGACACCTAGGCTATTCCCAAACTCTGCCAGCAGCCAGGATTGTGTTTTCTTTGCCTTTGGTGCTGAAAGAAATCAACATGTGGTGTCTCAAAGATTCCCATCTGACCCAGAAGAGTATCAAATTGTGAAATTGTTTTAGAGCACGGAGTTTTCCATTAAAGACATAAACATCAGAACTTACCTCTTTGGCATGTGGCCTCTTACCGAGGGAGGGTGATCTCTCCTTGACTTGCCTGTTTAACTTCACTTTTTTTCAGGACAACTAATTCTGCCGATTTCACTACAGGAAGGGAATGTCAGTAGTAAACCATGGCCTTTCTGAACCTCTATTTAAAGAGGTGAGGTTTGCCAGAGCTGCTTGGTCAGCCTCCTTGCGTGCTGTGCGCGCCTGAACCTGGAGCCAGAGATGCACCAGGACCATCCCACGGACTTCCGCCTAGCCCGCTGTGGCTCTCCCACCTCCAGTTTCTGTGGGATGTTCAAACCAGGCCATGTATGGTTTGAATTTAGGTCTATTTTAGTATCAAAATGCCTGTTTAGGGCTGTAATTTACTGCTGTCTTCCTAGAACAGCAGCTAATGTTTGTTGCCAACTATTTCCGCTCCATCGAAATAAAATACTTTTAAAGCAGGAATAAGGGTGGAGTGTTTTTTTTTTTTTTTGTGTGTTTTGGAGAGCTTGTTTTGAGCCTTTTTTCTCTCCAACATCCTTTTGGAGGAGGAGGAGGAAAAATCTCATGTTCATTTTTTTGCTGTGTGCTTTTTTGGTCACTAGAATTCCAGGCTAAACTTAAGAAGTTATTTGGCAATATAAAGTATATGGCAGTCTTGTTTCAACCATCCATAACTTCTTTAGCTAGGCAAAATGAGAACATTTTGGAACTCTCTATTGCTATTTGCTAAACTGTATGTATACCTAATACAGATGTACATGCAAAATTATTTATAATAAGTATATATGTGAATGTATATTCGTATATATATCTATACAGGCACATACACATATGTAGGATGCAGGTAGCATTCCAAATTCTCTCTCCAGCTGGTACTAATTCACTGCCACTCATTGAAAATGATGTGTTTTGACTAAATTTGTCCTTTTGCTAAGAAATTGATAGAATATAGAGCCAGGCAAGCTTTCTTTTCTTCCTTAGCTCTCATGAACTTTATAGCAAGAAAAATATTTTAAAGTAAATTTAAAACTCATTGTTTCTCACATCTGCCCAGCTCTACCCTCTTGAATTAGGTAGAGTTTTGCAGCATCTTCTCAAATGCCTTTTTCCCAAACAACTCTTGCAGAGTCCTTCTCCATTGCACCTTTATGAACTGGGGCCAGGTGGGAAGAACAACAGTAATTCATTCTTGTTTTCCTTCTATCTAATCTATTCATGTTGTGTCCATTACCCTGTGTCTTTGGGGAATGGTAATGAATTGTGTTGCTCCTCTTCTGTTTCACAGTGTGATCTTCAGTATGATTCTGTGCCTCCAAAAAAGGCTAGACCTTATTTTCCTCTTGGGAATTCTGTGAATCTTTAAGTCTGTTTTGAGCTCCTTGATGCAAAAAGGAGGACAGTGTCTAACATCCATAGCCGGGTGGCTGCTGTGGAGCTAATCGTACTTCATTCTTCTATTGCACCATAAGAATTTAAGAGTGCACTGATTTAACATGAGGCATCAAAGTGAATTAGCAATATGCGTTTGCTGCTTTGTCAAACCAGTAATGGCAGGTCATTCTCAAGGCATATGGGTAAAATCCTAAGAAAAAGCAATTAATTTAATTCTACCCATAATTCCAAAAGGTATCCATTTGAAATGAGGTGATCATTGTAAAGAGGCATGAGTTCTCTTTTACCTGTGGATTTTCTCAATGCTGGTCTTTTTTTTATGGGTAACGCTTTCCACAGCAGAGACAGGGCAACTCATCTTCCTCCCTGAAAGGAAGTGATCAGCACTGAAACAGTGCTTCAAATACTGTGACCTGAGATATGTCACTGTTAAGCAATTAGTTCTCTGTAACTCAGTCACCTAGGTAAATTCATCTCTGTGCAGCTCTAGCTAGAGATATACCAATTCCAAAATGTCACATTTAATTAATAAATGGCTTCAGGAAAGTATCGCAAGAATGAGTTGAAGGCTGGGAAGGCATGCCTTCTAGAGAAAGACTATGGATAGCCTATCTTCAGAGAGAGAGAGAGGAACAGTAAAAGAGATCACAGTCTGCAAAGAGCTAAACAAGAGAGTCTTTTCCAGCAGAGCAGATAGCTCTTCAAAGAAACAGAAAACGGCAGAACAAGGTTCGGCGGTTGGAAGTGGAAAAAAGACCACTTGAATGTAGGGACCTAGTGAATTCTTCAGTACTTACAGCCTTTACATCAAGATAGGCTCACTTTCTGAACTGGCAGATATGGGCTTGGTGCAGATGTTCTTAGCCAGCTTGCTTCACAAGTTTTATGCAGGAGACAATTACTTTTTTCTGCTCTTCAATGTGTGATATAAAACTAAGATATTTCCACAGGACTGTGGGCTTTTGTTTGTGGGGATTTTTGTTTGTTTATTTGTTTCAATCTTTCATCCCCCTCCACGGTTAGAGATCTGTTTTCTGTAAGCCTGATCCCGTAATGGAGAAATAATACATGTTTTCCATTGAAACTGTGGAGTCAAACTGATACTGTGTAATCTGGCTTTGGGTGTCATGTCCTGTAAGAGAAGTAGAGACCAAATTACAATATCTTGGCTCTGGATAATTTACCTAAAGTGTCTCTGTTAACTTTCACAAGTGGAATCCCAAATCCTTGGGAGAAAAATAAAGCAGTTTGAGAGAGAAGTGAGGATGTGCGGTCTTCCATACTAATTTGAATTGTTTATGGCTTAGAAAACAAAATCCTACCTTGAATGTGGGGAAAAAACACTGCATCCCAGCTTTCAGCAAAGTTGTCCCTCGTTCTGAAGGCTGGCAGTGCTGAGCAACCTCAGACTTTGCTGTCCCCATCAGCCGAGCAAAATACTTGGCTGATGGAAAAATAACTTTCTGGGCAGCATATTGAAACACCTCAGAGCCCATGATGTTAGTGACTTCCATGTACTCAATGTGGTTGAGAGGACCAGACAGAGCTTCCTTTCCTAAACACCTGCCATCTGGGGTACGGGAAAGCTGGGAATGGTCACAGAGCTCTCCGGTTGCCCAAGCCACCTGTGGCACTGTGTCTGCCACTGAAATCTGGGGGAGCTTCTTCACATTATCCCAACCTGGAAATAAATTGAGCAATACACGGTAGCTGGAGAGGTTCTTTAGCCGAGTTTCCTTATGTATTTATTTTCCTTCCCCTTCTTCTTTGCAGTATGTGGTCATTCCCACACGCCGTGCAACCGCAGTGGCCTTGCAGAGTTTCACCTCACACCTCCTGGGAGATGCTGGCAGTCCTTATCTGATTGGATTTGTAAGTGTTCACAGTGGGTTTTGGCAGGGTTGTTTGCCCACGTCTGTTTTTATTTACTAACTCGTTGTCTAAAATACCAAGTTAAACCATGCTGGGAAAGGCAGGTCTGTATTTATCAGCAGAATGGGAATCAGATGGTTCGCAGCAGTGCAACTTTCTTGCGTGATTATGTTATCTGTGGGCTACAGTTCAAACTTGGAAGGAAGTTTGGGAAAAGAGGTGAGCTTCTAAATCTTTTTAGCCTAGAGCATTTGTAAAGTTTGTGGAGAAGAGTGGTGGCTTTTGTGGTGTGGACGTAGGTCCATTAGGAATTAGATTGGAACAGAGTGGTGTGTTTATTTAACTGTGTGTCTGGTCTCATAAGGCAAATATTTCCTTGAGAGTAGCAACATGCAGCTGTTCTGATTTGCTGATATTTTAAACCTGCTCTGTGTAGTTATAAATGATGGTACAAAATCCACGGCAGAATTGAGGTGTATGTTTTGCTTTCTTTTGTATGTTTTGTTTCCTTTCTATTGCTGCTGTACTTGTTGGCTTTGGTCTGATTAAAGACCCCTCTTAGTCCAGCACAATCCTAGTGTGGAGTGAAACAACAGACCCTGCTCCAAAAGCTGGTCATCAGAAAACATTCCCAGCTGAAAATATAAACCTTGAGGAATATAAGAAGGAAAAGAAATCTAGATATAGTGAGACAATTTATTTCCGAGCACCTTTCTGTTGAGTTTGATGCACTGAGAATATGGCTAAGTGTTTATAATATATAGTAACCTCCATGTAAAACCCAAAGTGGCACCACCCTTCTTGTGACTGGAGGAGCAACACTTTTCTAATGATTTAACTGGGATCCTAATTTGGGCCAGCACCTGACAAACATAACTGATGTGCTCTTCTGGCTGAGTACTGCTGTGCAACATGGCTGCTGCATTTCTCAGCTGTGGCACTGCTTCTTCTCATCTTGTAGATGTTGGGCAGATATTTCACCCCGAAGGAGGTTGCTCGTGTGTATATATAGTGAATGATACACTATATATATGTATGTTTGTATATACATATATATGTTTACTTTTGAATGCCAGCTCATGAAAAAAACATAGTTCCTCTATAGCTCTCTGAAGTTTACATGGAGAGAGATGCAGATAAGACTGAATGGACCAAGGAACTGAGAAATATCCCAAGAGAATAAATATGTATAACTCAGCTTAGTCTTTATTTACTTCAATGCCCTGGACACCCCAGGAGAAATGATCTTATTTTAGAAAGTACTGGAAAGTGGTGAGAACGAGCAAATCGCTGGGAGATGCTGCTTTGTGCAGGGGAGGTGGCTTGAGGAAGGGAGAGGATGTCAAGGAGGGAAATGAAATAAGCAGGCTGGCACGCTGCAAGCGGCAGGCGATGAGAGGCAGGCAGGATTGTCTCAAGTGACTCCGTTGCATGTTCTTTCTTTTTCTTTCTGAAGAGGGACGTCCAGGAGGAGGGGCCAGGACCCTGAATGACTGCAGTTAACTTGAAAGTTGCCTAGGGCTTTTTAGTGTCACAGATTAAAAAGGACTTTGTCTGTAGAAAATAATGTGCCTTGCCATACTGGTATTTAAAGACCAAGCAAGTTGTGAGTTACTTAAGGATGCCTGCCTGAAATATGGATAAGGCTAATTTAATTGGTTGCCCTGGGCTTTCGGCTAATTTAATTGGTTGCCCTGGGCTTTCTTTAGACTGGGAAAAAATTAATTATGATTTTGATTTAGTCTTCTCTAATGCTGTAATTGTTGGGCAGTTGTCATCGAGGAGGAGACTATCCAAGCCAAGCCTCTGTTAAAGGGGGCTGGGAGCGAAGCGCTCGTGGCACCAGCATCCAGTTCTGCTGCCTCCGCACTGGCTCGGCTGACTCATCCCCGTGCTGTGACAGTTGAAAGGTCAATTGGAGCTTTCGCATAACACCCAAAAGCAAATACTATTTAAAGTGAAAGGGCAAACAGCTGGCTTCCCCGCTAGATCTGCGACAAGCCAGCAGTTTGTACTGTTAAGTCTGCAGGCTCCTGTCACTGGAATTGTCCCGCTGAGTTCCAGGATGGAGACCTTAACCCAGGATAGAAATCTCACTGGAGCAGGTTAGACAAATGGTCTGAATTACAAGTAGGATTTTCAAGGCGTTCTGCAGGAATTAAGCAACCAACTGCTGTTGCCTTTAAGTGAAATTTGGGCATCTAGTCCCCATAGTCCCTCTGGAAATCCTCACCCTAAGTACATCAACTCAAATTGCTGTTACTCCAGAGTTACCATGTGGTAGACCAAGAGCAGGGTGTAGGTCTGGAAAGAGGGAGGGAGAAAAAAGGATAGAGAAAACGAACCTCAGTAACTAGCATGCTCAGCACCTAGTGAAGTTCAGCCTCTTGATCACGCGAGGTGTTTCTCTGATCCCCAAGATCTGCCATTTCTTCATTTCATCCAACAGCTTACAAAATACCATCCATCTGAGACTCCCTCACTAAATGAGCAATGTTTTGATCAAAATATGGCTGGAATCTTGTATTGTTTTGGGGAGGTCGCAGTGAGATACTTTCTAGTGGTGTTCTTATATAGACTCAGATATCTGTGTCCTTGCAGGACTAAGCCGTCTCAGCCATTTGTCCCTGTATGTTTCCTGGGTACCAATAAATGTTGTATTGATTTTAAAATCTGTATGTGGAAAGCAGAAGGTATTTCACAGCTGCAGTCCTGTATGTGGGAGTACTTCTCTGTCTTATGGTGTGCCAAAAGAGCTGAAGGTCAGACTCTGATTTTTCTATAGTCTCCCTGAGTTTCAAATCTTGCAGTGCAGTAAATGTTCATGCTCTGCATTTATATGGTTCCTTACAATCACCTGAAGCACCAAGTATGTGTTGCTGTTTAAAAGCTAAGCCGAAAGAAGCTTGTATGTGTGGGTTTTTTCATGTCTCTTTAAATTGATAACTTTGATGGTATTTTATTATGGTAAAAAGTCTTAAGATTGTCTTGCAAAGAAGCTATGCAAATACAGTTTTTAGGGTGGCAGCTGCAATTTGCTGCCTGCCAAACACTGAGATCAGTTGCTGTAAATCAGTGCTGCCTGGTCATTCATAAACAAGAAGCATTGCTTCAGTATTTCATTAGATGAGAGAGCTGTTATTCCTAGATAGCTGTAATTTTTTCAAGATGTTTGTGATAACCTGCAGAGTTTAAATAAATAATGTGTAACGACTTGGAGTATAACTCCATGCTTTGTTGTTGAGACAGTCAGTGAGAATTTTCATCTGTTCAATGTGCTACAGCCAAGTATCTTTAGTACTTCCCTATCCTTTGAAGGTCCTCCTGTGCAGATGTGGTTAGTAAAGCACAAAACAGTTAAAAGAAGTACCTCAAATCCCACCACAAGTGCAGCATATCAGATAAAGTTCTTCTAACTGTTATTCCTGTGCCCTAATTCCCAGGCCACATTTCAAACTCTTCTGAGTTGTGCAGAGGTAGCCAACAGCAGAATTTGATATACAGTTAATACTTCACATAGTGGATCATAGCTCCAGCTCTTTGCATTATTAATTTTGGTTGTATCTCTGCTGCCCTGTATCATTAAAAGAAGTGCCAGTGGGTCTGTGTATGTATGTGCGTCTGTGCACACACATACATGTACCTGTCTTCCCTGCTCAGGGATTTCATTATTTCTTCACACAAACGGCAGTTTTCCTCCGCTTACTGACATACTCTTTTGCTTCACTAAAACCCAGTGCAGACAATCGTTTTTTGTTTTGAGGCCATGCCTTGGTACTCTTATTTTCTTTTCTTCCTCCAGGCCTGTCATTTCATTTGCTTCCTATTTGAGCAGTGAAGTGCTCTCCTCCTCCATCCTTGCTCCACTTCTGGCTGTGATGAGAAACAGCACCTTCTGCAGGCTTTGCTCTCTTTCCATGTGCCAGGGGAGTTGTCTTTGCAGGCACAAGCTGTCCTGAGTGCCCTGGCACTGTTGCCTCCCCTGTTACCTTGCTGCTTTATTAAATTCTTTCTCTGCAGCTGTCCAGCAGGTCTAGGGATTGAAATCTGCCTGTATCTGTTTGTCACCTGGCAGCATCAAGGTGTGAGGAACAGTGTTTTACGTGCCAGTGATCACTGGTACCTCCTGCACCAGCACCTTTTGATGGGCTAAAAGCTACTCCTGAGGGTCATGGGGGTGATACCCACCTGTCTGGGTCCCCACAGCTGCTGCTTCTTCAGTGTGATATGTGAATCTCGACCTCCAGCCATGCCAGGCCAAGGAGGGTATGGCCGGGCCCTGCAGCTCCACGCTGTAAGGAGGCACCCAGATCTGTGTGTTGGCACCCAGGTCACCATCTGTGTACTGACGGTCCTGCAAAGGGTCTCCTCATCTATCCATCTCTAGTTATGCACATGGCAACATGAGCTGAATTGCTGGGTCTCTGAGAGCCTCGTCTCGGTAGACCTGGGGCCCAGTGCTGGGCCCAGTGCTGCAGCATGCTGTTTTCCCTGGCAGCAGGGACCACAAGTGTCTGAAGAGGCATCTGTTCTTTGAAAGTCTCCTTTTGAAAAAGAGGGTCTGAGTGTGAGTGGCCTTGCAATTAATTGTAAGCAAATCTGAGCTGTTTTGTTTTGAAGGGGTTTTGTGCAACTCTGAGTATTTCCTGGAAGAGTTTTAACACTAAGTCTATCACTTGTCACCCTCCACTTTTCTCTCTTCCCCAACTTTCTTGTGTGAGTAGGTTGATAAACTAGATCTAATGAGCTACTTAAATAGCAAGAATGTTAATGACTTTCCTTTAGCAAGTAGTTAGCAGAACAGTGTTAATTATCACTGGTGCAGAGTATCAGCAAAGCAGATCAGCATTTGATTAGGGGCATCCCAAGGAAAATGGTAGTAAATGCAGCAATTGAGATACTTCCTTAATGCAAGTTATAATTGGAGCTGTAGATTTCACAGCCTTCTTGTCCCAGTTTGAGACAGCCTTTTTGCCAATTTACTTTCAAAGATATTTACC